CACCACTGACAAATAGCTACTGGACCGGTAGGTGCTTAATTGGTATTTGGTAATTTCCATAAGAAAATTAAAACACAGAAAAGCAGCTATCAGTCTGATTTAAAAGGGCACATCTAAGCTATAAAGACATCAAAAGATAGAGACAAATACTAACTAACTAGAAAGAAGCTAATCTATCGCGTGGTTCAGTCCTGGTATGGCTCTGTGGGATAAGAGCAGGATGGCAAGGTCAATGTGAACCACAAGGTCAGCTGTTCAAACCCCTCAGCCACTCCTTGGAAACCCTATACATGATCACTGTAGTGAGAATCGACTTGACAGCGCTTCACTATACCTGGCAATATTCTGCTGCTCTTCATCATATTTCAATATTCAATATACTGGTGCTAGCTGATAGTGTCTCCTTACTATTCATAAGGTTTTCTTTGGCTAATAATCCAGAAGTAGCTTGTCTCTCCTTCTTTGGAGACTGTCTTAGTCTGGAAGCTCAGCTGAAACCTACCCCTCATGGGTAACCCTACTGCCATTCAAAATACCATTGGCATAGCTTCCAGTGTTACAGGAACATGAAAGCCACCACATTACAGCAAACTGACAGATGAATGGTGGACCCATGGCAGAGTGTCCAGCATAATAGCAACACATAAGCCACATAATATGACTAACTGATAGATGGTCCATGAGATTACTCATACAGTATTCTCCATCTACCCCTTCCTTATCATAGATTGTTTTCTTTGCAGTTCTTGGTGCTTTCTGATATTCATATTTGTTTATGTATATATACTGTTCTGGTGTGGCTCTATGGGTTAATGCACTGGACTGCCAGGTTAGTTTGAACCACAAGGTTGGCAGCTCAAGTTCACGAGCCACTCCTTGGAATCCTTATGCAAGATGACTATGAGTCAGAACTGACTGACATCATTTAACAACAACAGCATTTACTGTTTGCCTTCACCAACTAGAATATAAACAACATTCGTGCTGAAATGGGGTAGAGCCAGGATAAAGTGTGGCATTCAGTGAATATTTACTAAATGAGAAAATGCAGTCTCTTTTCTTTTTACTTGGGTAACCTGATACCCTATCAAATATGCAAACAATAGAAGTAAAGTAACCACCACAGGGTGTGTACATCCTGGAATGCTCATTGGGTAATCCCTTAAATGGACAGTTTTACATAATAAAGCGTAGAGTTATATACACTCATGTAATCACCAGCAGCACCCAGGAGGCAAAGAAGAGTCTGGGAGAGATAAGGTTAGTGATGAAGTTCTTATACACAATTTTTGGTCTTATACCCAATATTTAGATGCCACATTTAAGCTTATTGTCCGCAATTGTTTCAACACTGTGGTTAATTTGTCGCTTGCTGTTGCTGTTTGCCAGGTGCCATCAAGGTGGTCCCTACTCAAACTGACCTTATATATAAGAGAACTAATCTTGTCTGGCCCTGGAACATATATTTGGTATAGTATAAGCTTACCTCAAGTCCTGGTATGGCACTGTAGCATAAGCACTGGACTTCTAACCGAAAAGTCGGTGGCTCAAATTCACTACCTGTTCTTCAGAATCCCTATAAAGGGTTACTATGAGTCAGAACTGACTTGAGGGCACTTGTCAACCACAACAGCATACCAAATAAAAGGAACAGATTCCACCACTCCCTCCCCTCGCAGAATACATATTGGTGTTGTTGCTAAGTGCCATCAAATCAGTTGTTTTTTTTTTTAATGTTTTAGTGTGAATTATATGATAGTTTACATGGGATCAAGTCAGTTTTGAACCATAGCAACCCTGTATAGGGTTTCCAAGAAGCAGCTGGTGAGCTTGAACACTTACGGTTCAACTCGACTTTGCAGTCCAGCTCATTAGCCCACAGCACCACACCATAGGTCTATGAAAAGGAAATGGTGAATGTGCATCTAGGAAAGGCCTTTAAAAGCCTTTCGTTGCCTATGCATGATATATGTAATATCAGACATAGTAAATGCATCCACACCCACACCCAGGCCTGACAATAAGTATATTTTCAAAAACAAGTACGTAAGAGGAAAACGGTGTTTCATTTGATAAGTTGACACACCATACTTAGTAGAATGTAAACATTTATTAATGTTTAAGCTATTACACATTTTCCTCTTTAGGCACATCTCAGATATTTTTGTTCATAGCTAAAAGGATTCTAGGCACCAGCCTCACTGTGCTATGGCACCTACTGGATAAGCTAATTCTTTCTGCATCTAGGTATCTACTCTGTGTACACTGTGCATTAACCCAAGTGATCCAACATTGGCATCTTCCTCTGGGGACCTGCATCCCTGGGGAACTGTGCTAGGTTGAGAAGCAGGCGTGTATGGGATTTGTGTGTGTGTATGGAAGGGGATCCCACCAAGTTGAACATTGGCATTTAAAAAATATTCTAGGAATTGTCCCAATCTTTAAGTTGTTGTTGATGTTGTTATGTGCCGTGGAGTCAGTTCCAACTCATAGCAACCCTGCACAGGTAATGTCGTGACTCATTTATTGTCCAAGCAGCCTCAGTAACCTGAGCAGGTAAAAGTTTCTTGCCTCAGATATGTTGTTGTTGAGTTGGTTCAATTCATAGCGACCTGTATAGGGCTTCCAATGAGCAATTGGTGGGTTTGAACTTCTGACCTTGTAGTGTTTATCCTACAGTGCCACACCCAGTTTTTATTTAATCACATTTTAAGCCTTGGGAGTGTATATCAACTTATTGTGAGTTTTGAGAAAATGGATTAATTAATTAGCACCGTAAGTCCTCCTGTGGCACTGTAGGATAAGGCACTGGGCCACAAGGTCAGTGTGAACCTCAAAGTCGGCGCTTCAAACTCACCAGTCACTCCTCTGAAACCCTGTCTCTATGAGTTGGAACTGATTTGACAGCACTTAACAACAACACAATTGAAAGAAAATTTAGTTTCTAAAGTTAGAATATAGGACTTCCTAGAGAAGATACTTGGACCAACTGGAGGAGACATAACAACAGAGAAGATACTTAGCATATGGGCTTGGGATAGACTTACCTCTTCAATCATTTTGCTATAAAAATAATGTCTTACCTCTACTCCTAGTAATATTGTTTGTGTAGTATAGATACCATGAGATCTTTTTGAGAAGGGCTGGCTCTGTGTTGGAAAGATCTATTTTCTCTCATGTAAGTCTGTCCACAATCTGAATATATAAGTAGGGGTGTATGTGTGACATTTTCTGAGTCCATCCTACATTTGTTATTGTTGTTAAGTACCATCAAGTCAGTTCTAACTCACAGCAAACTTGTGTAGGGTCAGGTGGAATGGCTGGTGAGTTTGAACTGCTGACCTTGTGGTTCAAACTGACCTTGTAGCCCAGTGCTTTAATCCTACCTAGCACCACACCAGGACTCCATATGTTTTGTTGTTGTTGTTTTTAAATGTTGTCGAGTTGGTTCAGACTCATAGTGGCCCTGTAGTTTGCAATATCGCATTTTAACCTCGTAAGTAACCAAATAAGGCTGAACTATTTACCACACTGGGCAAATGAAGAAACTGAAGGTCAAAGAAGGAACTTGGCTAAAGGACTCTGGATCATCTGCCAACCATCCAAAGGTTGTCATGTCCTTATCACTGCTCTCTGCTCACCCACTTTAGATGTGGGTGCCCAAGGCTTTGGTCAGGGGGTCATTCCTGATGATCATATCAGGGGAACTTTGTGAATCCTAAGAGATGGGTTTTGATTCCCAGTGCTTTAATATCCACTTGAGGAGACTACCTGGTGAATCTGGTCTGTGAAATTCAGGTTATACCTGTTGTCTAGTAGCCAAACCAAACCCATTGCCTTCAAGTCAATTCCAACTTGTAGTGAGCCTATAGGACAGAGTAGAACCGCCCCATAGGGTTTCCAAGGCTGCACATCTTTACAGGAGCACACTGCTACATCTTTCTCCTGCAGAGGGCTGCTGGGTTTAAACCTCTGACCTTTTGGCTAACAAATGAGTACTTTAACCATTGAGCCACGAGGCTACTTTTTGGGCCAATGTCAGTGGCAGAAATCCAAAAATGAAAAGATGGGCGTGAGTTAATACTCAGCTTGACCCAGTGGATTCTGGGTCTTGCAATAGCAGTCTGTTCTCAGTGTGTTTGCAATTGGGGTGAAATGCCGAACACACTATTCCTTTGTTCCCTGCTTCTTTGTTTCCCACAGATGCCATGCACCTGTTCTTTTAAGTTCTGACAATGTACTTTCTTGAACAATGAGAATTGGGTTGGATTTTTGAAGCTTACAAATGCATGGCTTTCTGTGTTACCAAACTGTGGTTTATCTTAATCATATAAAGCCATGAGGCAGAGAATCAGACAAACAAATTTAGATTTTTGTGTACTTATTCTTTAAAGTTCTATTTAATATCATATCACACTTGTAATTAAACCCTAAGTTCATTTTGACTTATATAGTAGAAGACTGAATTAAGTAGAGACCCTTGACTACTTGATACTTTTAGAAGATTTTCTTTTGCAAGGTCATTTATAAAGTCATTGTATTAATTCCTGATTCCTTTTTCAAAATACCAGAAGTAGCCTCTCAAGCTACAAAATACTTTGATACCTTGATGTGTATTGTTCATTCTTCTTTTGTGTGTGTGTGAGATAGAACATACATTAAAAAGAGCAAAAATCATTTACGTATAATTGAAAGAATAATCACTAATTCCGTTCAAGAAATAGAATTTTGTCTGCCTCCAAGAAACCGTGTGACCATCAATGTCACACACCATTCACAATCCCCATTCTGCTTTCTCAAGGTAACCATTCATCTTCTGTGATAGTTATTTTTTTGCTATTTGTCATAGCTTTACATTCTATATATAGTAGTTTTGTTTGTATTTTCTTCAGAATTGTTGTAAGTGGAGATGTGTCATTTGATGTGTGTTAGGTTGTTCTTTAAATGTTCTTATGTTCTTCTTATATTTTGCCCTTCAAAGAAATTCTGAACCAGGAGTCATGGCGGCCAAACCCAAGCTCTACTATTTTCGTGGCAGGGGCAGGATGGAGTCAATCCGCTGGCTACTGGCTGCAGCTGGAGTGGAGGTTGGTTCCCAGTTTGGAAAAGTCAGGAGGATAATTGGAGAAAGATTGAACTGGACATCTTCCCCTTCAAAATCTAGGACAGGTGCCTCCACTCTTTCTCTTCACTGCTTCTCTTCTGTAGTAAGTGAAGAAGAGATCATAATCTAGCATTTAAGTCAGGGTGAAGGGTAGAGAGAGACCTTAGGAAACTTCATAGAGTAGAAAGGAACTTGTTGGATTGCAAAGGAAAGGAAAAGGAGTAGACCACCTATGTCTCATTCTCTGGGTTGGGATCGGCTACTTTTCTGAGATCTTTCCAGCTCTGCTGTGGCACATCCATCATGCTTTATTTGTGGTAACCAATCTGAAAAAAGCTTCCCCTAGAGTCCTCCTTTAAATGATCCACCCTGCAGGTATCTTTCCTCTCTGGACTCTGAATTCCCTCCCCACTGACTTTTCCCTTTGGAATTATTCTGTTTCATGTAGGTGTAGACTTCTTTTTCCCAATTTGAATTTCATCTCTAAAACAGCAACTCATTACCTTCTTAGTTTTCCCTTTTGTTTAAGCAAAGAGATTGAATGCCTTGAATTGTGTTTAGGAGGAGGCGCTGCTTATCCCAACCCCTTTGAAGCTCTCTTCCTCTTAGGTAGACATTTCTCTCCTAATATTGCTCAACTTGTCTCCTCCTCCAACCCATTATGATTGGGGATGGGGAAAAAAATCACTCCTTCCCACAAAAATTTTAGAACTTCCATCAATCAAGTATGATAAATTCACCTTTTGGATCCTTTTCATTGATCACCAAAGGGAAGTAATATCTATCTTGATGCAGAAGGAGAATAACGCTGAATAGAGAGGAGAAAAAGAGAAAGAGGGAAAAAGGAAGAGGATAACTTATTGGGAAGTGAGAAAAAAGTCAAGGGTTAGGGAGAGGGAAGACCCAATGGGAAAAAATGGGAAAATATGAATAGGGAAGCTAAGCATATCCTTTAAGTAGATAAAAATCCCAAAAGAGGTGCCAGTCCCAAGCCAGTCTAAAGGCTAATCTACACACATGCTTTGTCAGAATTTTCAACTGTGTGGTAGTTAATGACTTGGTGGTTCCTGCATAGAATTTTATTATGGAAGCCACTGGGTCATCTATAGTGTAAGCATTTCTTTTTTGATTATCTTAAATTATAACAAATATAACATTGTCTCTCTATCCTCCATCTAGTTTGAAGAAGAATTTCTTGAAAAAAGAGAACAATATGAAAAGTTGGAGAAGGGTAAGCCTAGATTTATTCAATGTTATTTTATTAAAAAACAAAAAATTTGTCTCTGGAAATATTCATTTTGATGTGGAGTCTAGGCCTCTAGAATGAGAAGTATTAGAAAAGATACTTTAATATTCTAATCGGTTGTTCACTGTGTCTTTGGAACAGAGCTAAAATTGTCATATGCCTTATCTCTTTGGCCTTCACAAAAGCTTATCAAGTAGTTACAGTGTGAACCCAATTAGATAGTATTGTTATGACTTGACCAGTGAGAATTGGTTCAACACTAACAATCCTATGGAAGAATCATTTTATTTATTTTTTAAAAAGGTTTTATTGTAAATTGAATCGTAGTTTTCATGGCAGAACATTGGTTTTGCACTCAACCAATCATATTTTGTTTCATTACGATGATTACAATTCCCTCCAGGCACCATTGGTTAACAGTATTTGCCTCTAGTCCTTTTTTTTTTTTAAATGTACATAAAACACACAGAAATAAATAATAGTTTAAACAACCAAAAGGCACATTTTGCAAGCCACCTGTGGGCACACAGTCTTACTCTTTCCATGAGTCTAGAGTCCTCAGCTGCCATCACCTCTGTCTCCCACGCTAGTGTCGCTGCTTCTCTGGTTAGGATCCCACACTCCGCTCATGCTCTTCCCTGAACAATCACTTTAGAATACTAAAAAAGAGTATTTTATTGTATTTTTGGTGGAAGTATATGCAGTAAAACAGATTTTTATTTAATAATTTCTTATAAATATTGTTCAGTGATATTGGTTACATTCTTTAAATTGTATCAATTGGTGTAATAAATTCTCACTATTTTCCGTGTACTTGTTCTGTTCCCAGTGACCTAGTCTTACAGCCCCCAACCTTCTTGTCTATGCTTTAGAGTATTTGTTGGCCATTTGGTCCTTTAATCATTCTTAAATGGTGATCCAGTGGGTAGGAAGAAGAGGGAGGGTAAATCTGATCTATGATATTCTCTAGTTCTCAAGGTTCATGTGCATTTTTTTCTTTGTCATTTTAAGAGATGAACAAAAACAATTTTATCATGTTACAATGATAGAATATAAAAAATTATTTAAAATCAAATACAAAAATTTTATTAAGTTTTGATCCACAAAGAGGTCCTTACTCTCCCCTAATCCTCTAGTAAAATTTCTCACACTAAGAGAGAAGACTAGTATTTTCATATTACTTCTTAAACTTCTAACAGCCATAACGCTGTTTTCCTTATCTAAGGATGCAAGAGTAGGCCCTGTTGTTGCTGATAATCAACATGAAATTAACAAAATTATTTTTAAAGTCAATCCATTGGTTAGTCAGCAGGCCTGCTACTAACCAAATATATGAGTTTGGACAAAGCTCTTAATGTGTCTGCATGTTTGTATCCTTAACATAAAATAGTCTCCATGGTCATAGATTGTCAAGTACCAGCAGATCTTATTGACAGGGAGACCTCTTCCCCACTGTTGCTCAGGAACTTTATTATCTGGAATCTCCCTAAAGCTCCACTTCTTCATTTCTGCCCTATTCTACTCCAAGTAAGGACATTACGGGTATTAAATAAATAAATACATGTATCTCTCTAGTATCTCCAGGAGTCTTGATGTGGTGCTGTAGGATAAGCCCTGGACCGCTAACCATAGGGTCCATCCGTTCAAACCCAATATCTGCTCATCTGAATCCCTATCCAGGATTGCTATGAGTTGAAACTGACTTGACAATACTTAGCAACAATCTCCATGAGCTCGTCCCCGATCATTCCAGCTTGAAGTGCTTTAGCAGGCTCTGAAGTTCTCCAGCTTTCCCTGTGTCTGTGGGGCTGCTATATTGCTTGGGACACCCTCCTGGTCATTGCTACTATTTGTGAACAGGAACAGAGGAGAGAGCGCTGGATCGGGAGTCAGGAGGCCATGTCTGTTGGCTTAACTGTCCCATGACCGTGTAAATTTGGTCATCAATAACATAAGAAAATTAAACAAAATAATCTTAAATATCCTTTCCTGCACTTTTGAGTTGTCACTGCTGTTGTTAAGTGCCATGCTGGTGGTTCTGACTCATAGTGACTGTATGGGATTTCCATGGAGCAACTGGTGGATTTGAACCACTAAATTTGTGGTTAGCAGGCCAGTGCTTATCCTACAATGCCACACTGAATTTTTAAAATCCCTCTGAGAATTGTCAGCTTCTAGAAGCGGGGATAATTTTTAATTGAAGTTTGTTTATCACTCACAAGCATTAAATCAGTACCTGGATTTTAGATGCTCATGAGTGTACACAGAAATACCTTTAATAAATGAAGGTTTTGCAGCCTATCCACAATTATAGTACCGCTGTTTCCAAAGTATAGTCACAACCATAGTCTTATTTTCACTCAAACTCAGTAAGATGGCCAGGACAGACACTGTTACAGGTCAGAAAATAGGCTCAGAGATGTTAAGAGATTTGCCTCAAGTCAGAACACTGACTTCTCAGAATAGCTGCTGCTGATTCCTGGAGGTATGTTCTCCCCATTGCCTACTGCTACTTCTACTCTCACTAGGCCAAGCAGCAACAGTGTTGGAAGTTGGGGAAATTAACTGTGGCTTTTGTCAACGCACTAGTGAGGGCTAGGGGAATGTGTTGGCTCCATAGGATAAGCACTGAACTGCAAACCACAAGCTTGGTGGTTAGAGTCCACCAGCTGCTGCAGGAGACTTTCTGCTCCTGCAAATAATGTAAAAGCCTCAGAAACCCCATACCAACTTGACGGCACTTAACAACAGTGAAGACTGGTTACCATCTTGAGTAAAGCTAGTTACTCTATTCTTGACAACGTAGAGTTGTTAGTAGCAAATTTAAAATCATCCATTTTTTCATGCCTGATGAAAACTGCCCCATTTAAGAGTCTATATTCCATAATTTGATTTGTATAGGCAGTCCTTTACCCTTCCCTACCAAAAAGAGAGAATTTAATTTTACTAAGCATTGATTATATTTTTCAGTGTTTTACTTATGTTATCTCACATCATCCTTGTAAAACCCTGTTCAATAGATATTACTGTTTTAGTGAAAAGAAAGATGATGCTTAAATACAGAATTTGCTCAGTCTTGTGGCTGGAAAAGGCATTCAAAGTCAGGTCAGCCAAACTCCAGAGCCTGGGTTCTTGCTGCCACGTCCATTCTGTTATCACGTAGACCTACAGTGACAACAATGTGCCTCTTAAGATTACAGACGTTCAAACTCCATTCCTGAATCGGAATATCTGGGAGGTAAAGTGGTCATTTAACACTCCCCAGGAGCTCTGGTGGAGTCCTGGTGTGGCACTGTAGGTTAATGAGTCAGACTGCAAAGTCGTTTGAATTGCAAAGTCAGTGGTTCAATCTCACCAGCTGCTCCTTGGAAACTCTATACAGGGTCACTATGGGTCGGAATCAACTCGATGTCATATAACAACAACAACAGGGCCTCTGGTAGCTTAGTGGTTACGAGTCGAGCTGATGATCTCAAGGTTAGCAGTTTGAAGCTACTAGCCGTTCTGCAGGAGAAAGATGAAGCTTTCTGCTCCCGTAAAGATTTACAGCCTTGGAAACCGTATACAAACTAACTCTATGGCACACAAGCAGCCACAGAATTCTTATACACCATAAACTTTATAGTTGTTAAGTGCCGTCAAGATGGTTCGGACTCATAATAACCCTGTATAGGATTTCCGAGGCTGTAAATCTTTGTGGAAGAAGAAAGTTGTATCTGTCTCCTGAGGCTGGTGAACTTGAACCGCTGACCTTGTGGTTCCCAGTTCAGTGATTATCATATGGAACGTGCCACACTCCCCATACTATAACACAGTATAGTAAATGTAGAAAACCCACTGCCATAGAGTTGATTCTGCCTCATAGTGACCCTATAGGGCAGAATAGAATTGTCCTATATGGGCAGTCTAAGAATTGACACTGGTGGGTTTGAACTGCTGACCTTGTGGTTAGCAGTCCAGTGCTTATCCTACAGTGCCACCCAGACTCCTGTAAATGCAAACACACAAAAGCATACGAAATCATCAAATAGATCTCAAATTTTACATGATGCAAATGGTAGAAATTCCCTCAACAACTGGGTCTTTAAGTCTTAACTGGGTTAAAATGAAAAAAAAACAAAAAACTGTTCTTACAAAATTTGAAGTAGACCTTCTGCAAGCTCACTGTAACCACGGAAGGAGACGATATTAACTTCTCTTTGCTTAAACCGCAGATGGATGCCTACTTTTCGGCCAGGTGCCTTTTGTTGAAATGGATGGAATGAAGCTAACACAGACTAGAGCCATCCTCAGCTACCTAGCTGCCAAGTACAATTTGTATGGGAAGGACCTGAAGGAGAGAGTCAGGTACCATGTGTTCATGCTTATACTTGATGCTTACCAAGCTTCTACAATCCTTGACCAACTGAGACCTGGTTCAAAGAAATTCCTTTGATCTGGGGTGAGGAGAAGAGAGAGGTTCTGCTGCAGGTAGACCTGGAATGGCCTGGGCAGAACTCCAGGTCTTAACCTCTTGGTGTGCTACTCACAGCAGTCTGCATTCAGTATTCTCACAATCTCTCCTGACTCCTAATAGAGTCATAAAATGACTTGGTAAACTATTCTACATGAAGGTGTAAATTACTGACTCAGTACATATAGTCAGTATATATATATATAGTTGTTCTTGCTGTTAGGTGCCATTGAGCCGGTACCGACCCATAGCGACCTTATGCACACCAGAATTTAACACTTCCCGATCCTGGGCCAAACTCATTACTGTTGCCAAGCTTGAGTCCATTGATGCTGCCACTTGGCCAATCCATCTCGTTGGGTGTCTTCCTCTTTTTCTCTGACCCTTCACCTTACCAAACATGATATCCTTCTCCAGCGACTCCTCCCTCCTAACAATATGTCCAAAGTGTGAGAGACGAAGTTTGGACATCTTGGCTTCTAAGGAGCACTCTGTTTGAACTTCTTCCAAAACAGATCTATTGGTTCTTTTGGCAGTCCATGGCACTTTTAATATTCTCCTCCGACACCATAACTCAAAGGCATCAATTCTTCTACAGTCTTCTTTATTCACTGTCCATCCTTCGCATGCATAAGAGGTTGTTGAAAACACCATGGCTTGGGTCAGGCGCACCTTAGTCCTCAAGCTGACATCTTTGCTCTTCAACACTTTAAAAAGGTCTTGTGCGGCAGATTTGCCCAATTCAATACGTCATTTGATTTCTTGGCTACTACTTCCATGAGTGTTGATAGTTGATCCAAGAAGAATGAAGTCCTTGACAACTTCAACCTTTTCTCCATTGATACGAATGTTGTTTCTTGGTCCAGTGGTGAGGATTTTTGTTTTCTTTACATTGAGATGTAACCCATACCGAAGGCTGTACTCTTTGATCTTCATCAGTAAATGTTTTAAATCCTCTTCACTTTCAGCAAGCAAGGTTGTATCATCTGCATATCGCAGGTTGTTAATGAGTCTTCCTCCAATCCTGATGCCACATTTTTCTTCACAGAAC